AGTTAGACCGCAAATCGGATCGACTATCGGACATGTATTGGAATATCTGTCAAAAACCACAGTTCGCTGTAATGAACATTTTTTTTCTTTTTTTGTTAGTGTTCAACTATAAACTGATACGTTAAACATTTCAGTTAAACATTTTTGAATTCTACGCTGAAACATATCAGAAATATATTGTTCTCCCAATATTCGCAGAGACTTATCGAATGAAATATGCACATATAATTGACACAGTCAAATTAGAAAGAGATCGGAGATGATTGAATCTTGCAAACTAATAATAATTATAAGAAGAATATTTTGTTTTACGATTTGTCGAGATATCAAAAATTAAATGGGAGCCTGTTCTCAAAATATTATTTTTTATGATGTCAAAGTTAATTGATCCTATCATCAATAACAGTTTTAATGTGATGGATCAATGTGTAAAATTTTTTTTAAATCAAGCTTTTGCTATTAATGTTTTCCAATTTCTAAAAGTGTGCAATATCGGTATCCGAGTTACTATATGTTTTTTTATGATAATGTTAAAAAACTCATGGACGTTTGCAAATTTTTTATTTCATTATCAAAGTTTGTTAGAGTATGCTTAAAATAATTCAACAGAATTATATTTACATAGAAAGAATGATTTTGCGCTGAATTATCTAAAAATTTATATGAAAATAATTTTGTTGGACCGTCAAAATAATTATGTAGGAATTTCAGGCATGACGAGCAATGCTTCAAAGAGTTTTGATATTCTAACAGTGAGCGTCCTACATAATTACTTTAACGGTTTAATAAAATTATTTTCAGCTTTGTATCTAGCTAAATTTTTAGATATTTTTAGTAAAACTATTCTTTCCGTGCAATAATAAATCAGTGATAAACGTGTTATATATTAAAGAAATATACGAGCAATGTAAGATTTCTAGTAGATACATTAATGTTAACAAGATAAATAATCAACTGTCTCCGGAGAAAGCTAGAAATAAGGGAAACCGAGGAACGTTTAAATCTCAGTTAACCGTAACTAATGTTCGTGATAGCAGTCCTTAGTCGATTAGCACTTCGTCCGGGTTGTTATGCTTTCGGACCACCGTGCTACCAGCGTTGATTTAAATCCCAGGCTCGCGCGTAATAGCCGACGTCGCTCGTCGGTGATTTTGCCGCAGCCGAAAGCCTCCTGTCTGACGAATCTAACTCTCATTAATGATTAAACCACACCCCGTGATGAGTCCCTGCCAAACTCGTGCATCTATGACAGCACAGAGGCGGAGCAACAGCGGGTTCGAAGGCGATTTTCCTCAGTTGTGATTGGCCGGGCGTTCTTAAAAATAGTCAGTCTGGGTGTGACCGTCGACATACGTGTAACGCGTAAAATAATCCTAACGCGTCTCCTATGCGAGCGAGTATGCGTGAACGAGAGACCGAGGGAGCTTAACGACACGCGCTCGCGCGCGTCAAGAGATGCCATGTGGCGGAGGGACCGATAACTACCAGGAGGATGTCTAAGTCTTCACTCTGATCTCTGACTACGAAGTTTTCGGATCTGTCTACGAGATCTGCCGACCGGCACGGATAGCCGCGTGGAAGAATTGGTCCCGCCGATTAGAATCGCGTCCACGAGACTCTCGCGACATCGGGATGGAGTGATCTTCCTCGAAACCTTTTCGATTGAGCAGTGCAACTTGTTTCCCATTTCTTTCGCGCAATCTTTGTAAATACTAAGACGAAAGTGCGTCCGTGCCGTACATCTCGAGTAACACGTGTAATAGATTGATGCGAAGTGATTTGACACTTTTGTGTGTTTTGTAAGATCCGTAATTTTGTTCTTCTCGAAAATCAGTCTTTTATGACTGAATAAGTCATGTCTGAGCTGCGTCGGTCGATGAATATGCAAAGATTGCCGCATGGATATAATACAGCGAACAGTAGTTGAGCAACTTAAATAAGGAGCGACGCGCGAGGGTGGAATCTTAGTGGTTTTAGTGAATCAGAGCGGAAAATCCTCGTACTTTGGATAAAATTGGCCTGGAGCCTTGGACTCGATAAAGTTAAACGAAGAAGTTGAAGGGGGAAGTTAACACTGACCATCGAGTGCGTTCGTGTTCTCTCCGGGATTCATCATCCCTTCTAGACACAAGAAGAGAAAAGCAAATTAGCTACCATCGCGATGAATAGAAGCGCTATTGCGATTTTATGACAGGTACTTTCAACGTCGGCCATCTCCGTCTACAGATCAACTAACTTTTGATTACAACCTGAACTGTCGAAAGATTATATCTTTCGGATATTATCATCCAGCGAATTTTTTACATCAAATCTTTCTCCACTTGAAGCACGATCGGAGGAAATCGGATGAATGCTTGTTTGATGGAGTACGCGGTGATCAAGACACAGGTGATGTCATTGAGAGAAAATTTAATTAAACCACACGCGATTTTGCATCGCTTCCGTTAGTCTCGTTCGTGATGAGTTCGCGTAAGGGTGAATACGTGGACGGATCGGGGTGCTTCGAGGACTGCCTGAAGTGATCGAGTACAGTGATCGTCACACGTTTTCTCGACGGATCGCATGAGATGATGACCTTCGTGACGGATACGGTGCCCTACGCCTACGAAGCGGTCACGAGATCAGCCTACGACGGTTATCGTCATCATTTACATCATCATCATCATCATCACCATCATCATCCTCATCATCCCCATCGGTATCGACGTGTTTATACGCCAACCGAATCCGAATATCTACAGGAATACGTCACCAGGAGGGACACGGACGATCGCGCGAGGATTATCGGCGTTAACAACGCTTTAGCGTCGGCCGGCTCATTGAATTATCGCAACGACCGAGTCAGGTGAGCTTTTATTCAAGTTACATTAATAATGCTATTTGATGGGCTTAAAATCAGATCACTATAAGCCTATTAATGGAGGATATGAGAAAACTTTAAATGAGATTTGCTACAATAATTACTATAATGATTTCATGTATACCTATTATGGCTATTATCAATATTATTGACATTATTATATTCCTAATATAATATTATTTTTCAAGTAATCGTATTCATTAAATATTAATCAAATATCGAAAACGATTAAAAATAGAATTTATTTCTTTTCCGAAATATTTAATTAATTTAATTTTGATAAAAATGCATTATAAAATTAATATTCTGGTAGTAGTAACAATTTGTTAATTCCTTTGGAATGCAATTACATATATCGTAAAATATCCACAAACACAAGCAAAAAATTATATACTTGCAACTTATCCTAAGTCACTTACCTATCCTTATTAAACCTAATGCTTGTCTATATACATGTATATATATATATATATATATATATATATATACACATACATACATACATACATACATACATACATAAATCTGCGCTTAAAAAGAAATAAAATTGATTTCTATTTTCTAATTAATTTAAAAAAAATAATTCTTCTTTATATTATAATATTTTATAATTACGAAAATTTTTACTGTACAAAACCTTGTCATTCTTATTAAAAATGAAGCTGATTTATTTTATCGGGGTACTCTGCTCCTATCAGTGCTTCGCAACTTCATAGCATGTTGCTTGTCTGTTCTTCCTTACCTTTCTCCGCTTCTATGTTTCATAAAATGTAAGCATAACTTTGGAAATAATTATGGCACACGGAGATAATGAAGTATAGTTCAAACAACATCCTATATATTCGAGCATATATTCTGTAAAGAACGTTTTGAATTTTGTTATTCTGTTAAAAAAAAATCTCTTTGAGATGTCTTATCTATTGCTTTTTTTTATTTTTCTCATAGCATCGCATGATTTATTTATTCATTTATTTTTTTTAAATAAAACTATCATCTACAAACTAAAACCATTTTTATATTTCAAAGTGATAGAATGAATTAAATATTTTTGTATATAGATATTCTATATTATTAAATTATAGATTATACAAGTTAAAAATATTGTAACATTTTGAAGAGAGGAGAAAGGGTTAGCTAAGCGCAGTTATTTATATCACGTTTCTAGAATAAGATTAGCACTCACAAATATATCGTCGGAAAAATTGAAACTTAATACTTTTATCCTTTCTAATATATTAAATTCTTACAAGAAGAATATGACACTCGATATATGAATTAATGTTTAAAAACTCAATCTCTGATAGATATCCTTGAAAATATGCAGAATAATTGTTTTTCATTACGCTAGATGACAAGATTGAACATTTTTCAAGATTCTTGCCTGTTTTCTCGTTTTTTTTACCGTTTTCCTTGTTCACATTGCTATTGAGACTAATATAAAAATTCGAATCTTATTTACTATTTGCTATTGTTTTATTATTTATTAAATTTGTACTATGCATTATTTTACTAGACTTAAATTATGTGTATATAAAAACTATCTTATTGAATTGAGCTTAACATAACAAACATACATATTTATGGAAATTTATATAACATAGAATTTTTTCGAATTCCTTTTAAATTAGAATAACAAAGTGATGAGTTAGCAGTTTTATTTTTTATTTTATTTTTTTTTTCATGTTTATCTGCATGAATACAATCCTTTTAGATTTTAGATTATTGTATCTTGTATTGTGCGCTAAAATCAATTTTGCATTTCTCTTCTCTCAGCTTTTACCTTTGTACTATCGAACCATTATTGGATTTCACGAGACTAAATCAGATTTATCCAACATTGTTTTACCATCAAAGCACAAGCTGCAGTATGTCGCTTTCGCGAATTAATATTGTAGCATTTATATATAACATTAGCATATACTCGCACCAAATTTCATTTTGTATAAATTATACTAAATTTCGCATATGTTTGGCACAGAAACTTTTCTCTTTAGACAATACTATTCCTCTCTCTCTCTCTTTTTCTCTCTCTCTCTCTCTCTTAATAATTAGCCTAATAATGATTAAAAATCAATACACTTTAAATATTAAATTAATAAAATTTAAAAAATGTATAGAGAGAGATACTTCCTTAATATTGTTATGATTACGTAAAAGTCGAAAGTTACATTATTGCATTTTTGTGTCATTTTATTATAAATTTTTTTCTGATTTTTTCCGCCGTTACATTTTTTTCTTCTTTGATTCGTCTGTTCTGCGATGCGATGAAATTTTAATGAGATCGGCGCGTTTATGACTGTCACATAATCGAACACACGGACAAGAATCATTATTCGCAATGAAGACTCGATGACGGTTTTATCGCGCATTAAACCATTTTCACTCTGTTCATCGCGTTTCGTCTTTATATCCATCCCTCTCGGCGAGATGAGAGCGTCTCTTCGCGGCGAAGAAATACATTTTCCGCGGGACCACCTGGAACGTATCCAATCGCGGAAACCGCCTCCTGACGGACCTACGCGCCTGCGTCCATCATTAACTGCCGGCGATAACTAAAGGATGATTAAGGCAAGAATCTGCGAATTCGTTCATTCGTAAATATCTATGCTTTTCAGCGTTCGGTAAGTCAGCTTCTTACGCGCGGCAACAACTCGTCTTTTACGGAATGAAATTTATGTCGCGGTATGTATGTATATACTTACACGCTGCTTCATAAGAAATTGGATATTCCTATATAATAGTTTGCGACTTACTAATTGAATAATCGAAAGGAATTTATTTCCAACCGGAAATTGAAGTTTTTCGTGAACTTTATCAAAACTTGTATAGTTTTTTTTTTCTTTGAAAATATCGCGCATCCTTATTTAATCTATTTAAAAAAAGCGTATGATAGGTAAGTATAAAAATTATGCTGAAAATTATTTCAAACCGATAAATAACAGTAACGTTTCATTGTCAATAGGACAGTAAAGGACGAGGATAGCCTATTTTTAATACGATTCTCAATAATACCGATGGATATAGAATGTTTCATGATTCAGGTCGCAATCTCGGTATACCCTTGATTCGGATGACGCCTCGTCAGTAATATCGGCGGATGCATCGGCTGACCTCGAGTCCGGCTCTGCAGACGCTGACGAGACCAACGAGCTTAACGAGACCAACGAGACCAACGAGACGAGCGAAACGAACGAGGGCGAGTCGATCGAGCATGTACCTCATCCTCACGTTTTGGATGTCGGCTCACCGCATGGACCGCGCAGGTGTCTTCTGTGGGCCTGCAAGGCCTGCAAGAAAAAGACGGTCACCGTCGATCGAAGGAAAGCTGCCACCTTGCGCGAGAGACGGCGCTTGAGAAAGGTCAGTTGCCATTAACCCCTAAGACACATGCTTTACACATTTCTTAGAGGTCTCGATTCTAAGAATAACAAGTGTGTGGTCTTCATTTTGTATTTTTATAAAAGATTGATGGGATATTACGATTTGTAATGTGTTTAGTTCGAAACGCGAAAAGAGTTCTCTAAAATAATTTTTTTTTTTTTTTTTTTTTCGATAATATGCAAATTCTTATTCTTTAACATATACTACTGAATTTTTAATGTTAAATTATACCTAATTTGAGTTTTTTAATCGTGTTTATAGGTCGCTACTGTTTTTATCCAATACCCAGTATATTGTTAATTTGATTAAAACAATTTAATTCAAGAAAATATATTAAATTTGACTCAAATTTAATTTACTATTAAATTATTTATTAAATGCATATATTAACGTGGATAACATTGAAACGTATTTACATTGAAACTAACTACGTGGAAATGGATTGATTTACATTTTGACATATTATATGGACACATATTAAAAACAACAAAATGTGATTTAAAGGATGGGGTGCTATGGCTCCTTTGACATCTAACAGCGTACATTCTCGCGATGCACAGTTCGCAATAATTTAAAGAGAGTTTTGTAGATCATTAGAATTTCATAAGCTTGATTTATTGTCCCGAAATCACGGATGTATATATGTTGCGTTCAAGATGGCGGACAAATCAGTCTTAACGTGCATCTAAATCACATTTCTCGTTTACTCAACATACACGTTGCTGTTTTGGCCAGTCTGCTTATAATTACTTAAAGCACATCATGCATGAATCGTGTTTTCGAAGTAAACAGCCTCAAAGAGAACGCGCTGACGGAAGGAAAACATCTGCATGCGCGAAGTGATCGTCGACTAAGCGCTGCTTTGGATGATTCAAATGACGAATAGCGTTTCAAGGATGGGCCTAAGTGTTAAATCTTGCTAAGAGTCGTTTGAAATTCGACGCCTGCATATGTAATATAAAGCGACGTCCATGGCGAATTTTTCATAAGTAAATATAACATAACTTTAGATATATTCAACAGTTTTTAAGAAATTCTGTTGATGGATAAATGCGATATTACATTATTTTGCACAATTCTGTCCCTCCACTATCTCCTCATACTAAGCAAAATGTTTTGTTCTATGAATCAAAATTTTGCTGTAACAAAAATTTGAGACATGCCGAACAAAAATTTTTGATTAAAATATATCGAATGAAATTATAATTTTATGTAAAATTGTTTAGTTGGTATAAACAAATATTTATGTTATAATTGAATTTTTTGTTGTATAAACAAAATATTTGATTGCTGTTAAAAAATGCCTCAACTAAATAATTTTGCTGAAGGTATTAAATTTTTTTTCTAGTGCACTTCCTTCAAAGCACGCTATTGTTGTGTGTATTATTCACGCAATCGCCGACACATGTGGTTAATTATGCAATTTCTATTACAGGTCAACGAGGCCTTTGAGGTGCTCAAGAGGAGAACGAGCAACAACCCCAACCAACGTTTACCTAAAGTGGAGATATTGCGGAATGCTATCGAGTATATCGAGAGTCTCGAGGCGCTGCTGCAAGGAAATAGACCTTCCGGACACCAGGATCACCCTTCCGCTGAGAGCATAGTATGTATCATGTGTCCGATAATTCAAATTAATAAGATCAGCATGCAATGAGATTAATTTCAGTAAAAAAATCATGTTCCGATTAAAATTTTATATCCAAGTTTATTATATATGATAATTAAATATTATATATATTATGGATATTTATTATGGATTAGGATTAATTTAAGATAATCTTTACCAAACACATCGTGGCACAATCATCTCATTTTTAATAAATATCTCATTTTTATTAAATATATTGCAATTTAATTTTGGTGATTTTTACCATGTATGATTTTTTTAAGTATTAGTAATTTAATTTTGAAATTTTTATGTTATGTGCTGTCATTGCAGTACTGCAATTTAATAAAATTAATGGTTCTTACAAATTTATTAAACAATTTATAAAATAATTACGAAATCTAATATACATTATTGATTTTATTGCAAAATAAATTAGGATGGTACGTTACATCATATTTATCTTAAAATTAAACTTGATGCTTCTATTTGATAAAGAGTAAGATTCTTGTAAAAGAATGATACGTTGTGTATACTTTTGTAACAAGATGCATTTAAGCGTTGCATTCTGCATCGTTACACACATGTCCGACACGTGCATCACACACGATCTACCGACTCTAATGGTTTTTGACCCGCGACACCATTAAGCTCATATCATCGTTTTTTCCAGTATACGTAAAAAGGGTTATCCCGAGTTTCTCGCTCTCAAACGAACGCGCTATCGTTAATGATAATTACCACATAAATATGTGCAAGTGCAATTCGTATGCATAAAAATTATTATTATTTTTTTAACAAAAATGGACTGAGTGTATTAAAGTTTTTTAAAAGTTGTCTAAATCTAAATACATTTTATAAATTAAATAAGTAAATTGCTTCCATATGCTTGTTAATGCGTAAATGATACATTTATAAGACTATGAGATATAATTCGCAAATAATTTGAATATACTTATCAACGAAATTAATTGCAAACGTCTCTGGATTTGAATCAGATCCTCTTCAATGCGAAAGACGAGTAAATTACTTTCGCACTGAAGAGGATTCAAATTCAGAGTCGAACCGTTTGCAATTAATTTTGTTATTACGGTAAGTACATTCTAACTGTTTGCGAATTATATTTTATAAATATATTATGCTTTAACAATCATGGAGGTTTATATCCAATTTTTTTACATTTTATTTTTAGAATTCAAAAAATTATTTTTATTTTAATAAAATTTTACAAAATACCTTATAATGTATCTATACATATTTGCAAATAATATTATAACTTTATATAAAACTATAAAATGATATATTGT